ATAAGAACCCTAAGAAGCACTCATTTTTAACTTATAATTAAGGTTTTTTTTTATTTTGATTTTTCTTAAGTTTTTTATAATTAAAAAACACAACAAGGACATAATGGTTTTTGTGTAAAACTCATTCCATTACTTTTGAGTTTGATCAGATAACATTTTTTTATAATAGCCAAGAACAAAAAACCTCTCCCATCTCCTTCAACCTTCTCTGATGAACACCACCACAGTCAGCACCGCCGACGACGACCTTACCACCGCCGCCGACGACCTCACTACCACGGCCAACGACGAACTCACCACTATCATCACCAGCGACGATGGATTTCAGATTTGGAACCATCCTTACCTCTTCTCCATTGCATCTCCGATGTATCGTCGACATCTCCTTCCACCGGTGAACTATCGTCTTCAGATGTACAATATTCGCCTCTAGATCTACGATTTTCTACTTTAGATTTGAAGTGTACGGGTCCAAATCTACAATCTCCGGTGATTGCCTCTCCTCTATAGCTGCTTCGGTGAACTGATGTCACCAACGACGCCAAACAACCACCATATCTGTAACCATTGTTGCCAACTACTGTTATATCCCTCGAACAACAGCTATCACCATCAAGACACCAAATCTGACTTTCTACACCTTCAGATGTATGATGTGTGCTTCGTTTCCGACCTCTGACCTAGCCAAAACACCAAAAAATGCCGCCTGTCGTTGTTCTCTCTTTTCTCTGATGCTCTAACATCAACGACCTCCTTTCTCTAGCTCTACAACTTCGGAAAACGATGAGGATCTACCAAAACCGCCTCCCTCTAGATATGCTTTTTCTCTAATTCCTCCAGATCTGCTTTGTTTCCGACCACCTCCAACTATCTTGTTCATCTTTGATCACCAAGGTCCTTCAAATGTCGCAACGTATGCTCAGATCAATGCATTTCCCATTGTCTTCATCGATGTTCATGATCTCTACCTCTCTTGATATAAAATTATGTCCTTAAAGTGTAATTCACCAACTAACGTTTGCTGTAGAAATCAGAAATAAAAATTGCTTTTAACTTTTTATTATTTTCTCCTTCCCAAACATAATTTCATTTATGTGGTAATTTATTTAGTTGATAAATATATTTGTAATCAAAGAATTTAAAATTGTCTCAGTTATTTATTTGTTATTTAATTTAGTTCAATAACAATGCATTTAAAGATGTTTTCAAAATATGAGAACTCATCTTCTTAGATAATTATAAAAAGTTTACTAATTTCTTTTATTTATGTTTGATCTTTCGTGGTGAAGCTAATATTATATTTTCTTGTATTATATTATTGACAACCCGACATGATATTATAACTGTGAATGTATATTTTTGTGTATTAAAATGTGAATTTTCTGTATTAAGCTGTTATTTTGTGTTTTAAATTGTGAATTGACTACAATAAGATGTAAATTTTCTGTTTAAACTATGAATTGCTTATATTAAGCTGTGAATTTTTTGTATTAATTTGTAAATTGACTGTATTAAGATTTGAATTGACTGTATTAAGATGTGAATTTGCTGTTTATACTGTGAACTGCCTATATTAAGTTGTGATTTTTTTTGTTTTAAACAGTGAGTTGATTGTATTAAGTTGTGAATTGACTGGTTTTAACCTGTGATTTTTTTATAAATTTTTTGACTGCATTAAGATGTGAATTTTCTGTTTAAACTGTGAATCACCTATATTAAGCTATGAATTTTTTATATTAAACTGTGAATTGACTGGTGTTAAGCTGTAATTTTTTTTATAAATTTTTTGTTTGCTTCTGAAATATAAGATTGAAGAAATATTATACACAAATATGATTTTATCTAATTTTGACTAAAGTATGTAAATTTTAAATTGTGAATATATATGTAAATACATTTGAAAGAACACTAGCATATAGATATGAAAATATAAATGTAAGTTTTAAGTTGAGAATATGACTGTGAATGTATAATTTGTGTGCATTAAACCGTGAATTTGTTATATTAAACTGTGAATTTTGTATACCGAATTATGAATTGATTGTATTAAGATGTGAATTTTTTATGAATTTTGTGTTAAAATATGAATGATTTATGTATGAATTTTGTGAATATATATATTTTTTGTGTTGTATAAATATGTAATAATGTATTAGTTTTTTATAACTATTTTGCATTAAACTCTGAGTAAGTTAATTAATTAGTTTATTAAACAATGAATATAGTGCTTAAGTTGTTAATCAATGACTTTATATACAAATCTGATTTGGAAGGAATGATGATTGCGACGATAACACAAATGGTTAGTGGTTGCGTGTGGTAGTAGTTGGTGATGGTGGTGGTAGAGTTTGAGTTTGATTTTATAAATATGTGAAATAATGTATAATGAACTGTATTATGTTATGTTGTGAATTTTATATACTAAACTAAAAATGTACCGTACTAAGTTGTATATTTTATAAAAATTTTGTGTTAAAATATGAATAAATGTATGCATGAAAATATTAAACCGTGTATTAGTGAATTAATATGTTTATTAAATTGTGAATATGATATTTTAAACTATAAATATGTCTTATACACGATATATATATATATATATATATATATATATATATATATATATATATATATTTGTAAAATCTATATATATATTTGTAAAATCTATTTTTTTTAATTTTGTATATTCGGCTGCAAAAATAAAATGGTATGTATTAAAATATATTTCCAAATAAATGAGAACTACAATGTTTGTTCTATTAAATTGTAAATACGACCAAAAAATACCATTGAATTTGATGTTAGCCTAGCGGCGACTTGCCGACGGTCTGATGGTGGTCCAACGGCTGTCCAACAACAAGTGACAACTAGTTGTAAACTAATGAATAGAAAAGTTTGTTTATTATAATATTAATGTCCGATTTGCCTAAAATATTCTTAATGAAAACATTTAAAAAATGATTCTTAGGGTTCTTAACCTTTTTGGGTTTTATATA